TGCTTCTCTTTAGTATTAAAGCAAGAAAATTTAGTACGATAATGAGTTTGGCAAAATATGATTCGTTGCATAACTTCAAAAGACATAAAAATAAGACAAACCTAGTTAGTCTTTAAGTGATTAAACGTATTCAACAAAAGAATACCTGGACTTAGGTTTTATGATATTTGATACTTTCCACCAAAGTGTCCTTGAAGCAACTGGAGGATTCGATCCCATACCAATCACCTTCATGGTTTGGCATATTATCACTGAGCGACTTGATCAGAGACTGATCACAGCCCATGGGACTGAAATGTTTACAATTGATTGGTTACTGATTAGTGAGGAAGTTCATGTTTCTTTAGTCCTTTATGATGTCATTCATTAGTGCGACTAGTCTTTGTATCTTGACATCGCGTGCACTGGATTGAAATGTCAAGTGGTTGCATGTAGTTAACATGAAACCCTACATATAGGATTCCAGATACACAAAAGAGGGAATGTTGTTTACGGAAGTGAAAGGACGAAAAGCGGATGTCTGGAGCTTTAAACGGGGTGGTGGGTGTGGACAGTCCACCTTGGGAGTTGGAAAACCCTGATTCCAAACCATTGGTGAACATGGGCTCCAGTATCCTGAAGGAACAAATGGCGTATGAACCAATCGTTGTTCACCGACTACCATGGGACTGCATATTCTTACGATGCTCCACTTCCTTGTGGATCAAACCTTTAGGTCGAATGCTCCAGGTGTGGTCCCCTAAGAAAACCACGTGCTTCGGTTTGGGCACCCAGGCAGTATCACAGCTCTCACACAAAACAAATGAGATTTGTGTGGCGCATATGTATCTGGTGCCTCTTCGTACAAGTATTTATGTGTTCAAATCAATTAGTTCAGCATATAATCCATCATCATATTCCAACTATTTCAGTTATAAGTGATTAACTCAGATTTGTATCATCATCTTAGTTACGAACCTGCGCATATAGACTTGTAAATTGTTATTCTTTGTGAGCTTGTATTTTATTGATAACTAATCGCGTGATTTCACGAGCCTCTCTATCATAAAAGGCAGACATGAACACTTGTTTAGACTTCTAATGTTCCTATAAAGAATAGTTACGTGAATGACATTCCGTGATCCATTGATTGTGACAAATACAGAGAGTGATAACAGATTTAGTAGATTTATCCATGTTTGTATATTAATAAAGAAATTCGATATTTATGAAAAATTGATCTGGGTAAATCATTTCAACTAATCCATTAGTATTGATATTTGTGAAAATAATCTAACCAGCCAGTTTTTAGATTTGTCACGGCCTGTATTGTTATTGTTATTCTTGTTTTTGCGTAAAATCCTGTACATACAATTATTGATACTTGAAGTTAATGTATGTAAAATGAAATAGAAATTTTACGTCATTAAATTTCGCTCACACTCAACGTAGAGCCTGATACATTTGTGCAACGGCTCTTTCTGCCACACAACAACAACACACAGAGAGAGATACTAGAGCAATAGAAGCAGAAACAGTATAAATGGAGTAAGAAGGACTAAAAATGAGCACTATGTTTCGGAAATATGGATTAGTGAACAGAAAGTACAAGTATAAAACTGAGGTTCTAAGGGAAGACAAAATATGAATTCATCTGAGCCATTGGGACTGATTAAGGACAAAGTAACTGTATTTATTGTTGGCATGTGTATTATCAATCAAAAAACCCACTATTATTATTATCATACAAATCGATTTAGGCATATTAATTACTGCAAGGTATCATATTTTTAAAAATGATTTTCGAGATTTAAAAGTGCAACAACCGAAATTTAAACCCTTTCGGTAAAAATAATTACGTAGTCACCAGTTACTTAATTCGAGAAGTGATTCCAAGAGTTCTAGTAAGCCATGAAAATTAGAGTCCAATTATATCGAATGTGAGGCAATAACCCGCCAATTACAATGGAGTATGGTCGCCCAACATCGAAACTTTAGGGTTCTACGTTCGACCTGTGGTTGGGTTGTGGACGCTGATAAGTCTATTACCATACCACTTAATCTTGTCTTCCTATCCGGTTCCTATAACTTAATTGCTACTACACGTCAAGTGAAACAGAGGGAAGGCACGAATTGAGTAAAAGCTTTACTTCAAGATTAGTTTGCGTACAAAAAAGTAAGGATATATATACAAAGGGTTATGCACGACTTTGAGCTTCTAGAAACTTCTCAAACCATGCTAAACACAGTAACAGTATAGGACAATATTCAATCAAAACGATGAAACGTGATTCTTCCTTTTCTAGATGTTACTACAAAGCTTCTATTCAACACTGATTGGATAAAACATTTCCTGGAGTTTCTGATCCTCTATCGACTATGAAGAGGGACATTTGGGGACTTATCAGATATTCATACATGGATGAAACGGCGAGACTATAATTTATGGACGAACCAATCAGATATAAGATAACAGGTCATGAAATTTGGCGCGAAATTCATTCATCCATTTGGCTAAATACTGTTTTGGTATTATAGCTGATCTAATTTTTAACTCTAACCATCAACTGTAAATCATAACTCTTACTGATTTATAACCCTCATTTAATCCTTATCAGTAGGTGTCCATTCTCAAGGTAACTTCAGTGTCATTCAAAGGTCGTCCATAAATTATAGTCTCACCAGTGAATCTTGGTTGTCAATAGTATTCGTACATGATGTAAACTATGAGAATTCAACAATTTTCACAGACCTTGTAGAGTAAAAGGTTTAAACTCGATAAAAAAACAAACAATACATTCTTCATCTTTTTTTGCTTTGTATCCATTCTAATCATTTGACCTTAATAAGCTTTTTAATCATACAATCTAAATCAGAGTTTTTCTTTTGTTAAAACCTATTGCTTATTATAGCAGGTTTTTGTCAGTATTGTAATTTTCGAGACAAAAAAATGTAGCACAATTGAAACAAGTCTACGTTTTTTTTGTTGTTGTTGTCAAGACTGAATATATGTATGTATATATACATTGTAGTGTCTGTCTAGGTCTACCTACATTGAATGTGCATCATTTAAAATGTTTATAACAAAGAAACAATAAAATAAGCTTTTTTTTAAGATAGAAAATTTTTTTTTCTCTTTTCCTTAATCAACAAACTAAAAGATGATTGTTTCTAGGGGTACGATAAAAGAAACAGACAATGTGAAAAAAGAAACACCTTTAAGATTCAAACCATTTGGAACAATAAAGTTTATAAATAGTAGTGAAAATATTAGCTGCAAAGGAGAATAAATTACTTATTTCTGAATTATATTTAGTGAGAATATATAAATTAACTCAGTATTATGGCCACGCGTATACAGCCACTATCAGGGAAATTCTAATCACTGCCTTCTGGTAACACGGGTGTTGTTTACGAAATTGAGAAGACTAAAAGGAAATGTACGACGCTTTAGTCGGGTTGATGGATATGGAGGATCCACTTAGGACAGTTGGAAAAACCTGAATCCAAACCAGTGTTCTACATGGACTCCAGGATCCTGAGGGGAAAAATGGAGTATGGACCTAATGTGGATCACTGGCTACCATGGGACTGCATCTCCTTACGTTGATCCACTGCATTGAGGATTAGACTTCTAGGTCAAAGGCTCAGAGTGTGGCCCCTTAAGAAAACCACCTGCTTTGGTTATGGCACCCAAGCAAATCAATTGATGAAATAGTGAAACTTCATCAGTTGAGATCGCTGGGACATGTGTTACGTATACTCGATCACCAACTGCTCCGACATGCGATGTTTTATGGTGTAGGAATAGGTTGGAAGGAAGCTAAGGGTGGCCAGACCAAAACATGACACAAATCCATGAAGTCACCGACAAGTGAACTGAGTGAGCCATGTTGGCTAGTGTAGACTAACTAAGTGTAGACCCGTGAGACGATAGCAACCAATGGTCAGAGACCTTGAACGACATGACTCAAAATGGTTTGCAATGGCTCAGGTGCATCCACTCTTTTTGTTCTCCCAAATTCTAATGTTCAGAATTCTTCATGTCCCTTTCTTTCTTCTCTTTCCAAATTTATTTCACTGGATTATACTCCTTGAATAACATCATCAAAGCCTAATCTTTTCGATCACTGCTTATACTCTTACTACCTCTATCACTATGGGATTTGAATAGACAACTACATCTCTGTGTTAATGTGGTAGGGCAACTTGAACTGATGTACGTACGTACGAAGTTCTACGTTGTTACTGGCTGACTGACTGACCCAGGCAGTAACCCAGCCCATACCCAGATTGAATGATAACTACTTTGTGGCGTATCAACTAATAATCTAAAGAGGTAGCCAAATTTAAGGTAAATACATCCATTCAACATTAAAATTAAAGCATAAATTTATTCAAGTTCCCATTACATACCAGTCATTTTAAGACAAATAAGTTTATCACACTAACGAGAACACGTTCATGAGCTGAAATTCCACTATGTTGTAAGCAATTTGGAAAAAGAATATTCTTTGAACACCGAGAGTCACTATCACAAAACTGTTTTGTGTACCAAGTAATTTTAGATGTCACTATTTCGTCATATATAACAATATTTATAACTCTTTATATAAAATAGATTAAATGTAGTTAGTAGTGGAATTTAAGATGCATGTTTCATCCTACTCAGGACTCATAAACTTGTATCATGGCTATATTGAAGTAAACCAAACAGAATACACTTATTCCAACTGAGAATTATCCAATCGTAGTCAAAATATCAACAATGGGATTATTCAAACAATTAAAAATTAAATTTCTAACTCTTGCTTAAGTTTTGTGCAAAAGTGTGAATAGTGTGAAGTGAACAATATACATAGAAATGTAAACTATTGGATATTAATTCAATAGTTTGAATGTTAAGTGCTCACTACGAGACCTGAAGGCTATAGGGTTTTAAAAAGAAACAATATAGTTAAAAAAAAATTGTAATAATGTACATCTGTAAGTAATAATAAATTACTACTCATAACACTTACCCTTGAATTTTGTCACAGTTTCATCTTTGTAATAATCAAAAAATATTTCAGTTTTATTTTGACTATGAACTTTGTATAGAATGAAGTATCTTCTTTTCCAGTCCTATTTCATCATATGTTACAAATGCAAAATAAGAAATATGATTATTTCTATGATAAAAAAAAAGCAGCAAGCAACTCTTCACACCTTAGTTAATCATAAGCAATTTAAGAACCTGTTACATATGTGTATCAGCTTATTACATCACATCAGTACAGAGAGAGACAAAAGTATCAAAACAAACGACAGAGTAGTAAAAGTAGTGATAGTAGTATCTGAGATCGTGAGAAAACGTTAGGTATATATAATATGATTAAAAGAAAATGAATATGTCCATGGAATATAAAGTATAAGATAATTTTGAAACAGAATAAGTGTACCTGTGTTAATCCAACTGGTTCTAAACTATGTCACACAACGTCTCCAACCAATCGTTACAACAGTTTTGTAGACACCAATTAAATAGTTAACATCTACTAATATGGCTTAGTCCAACGGTCAATGAGTTCATGAGCTGACAATCCGTCTTGGTTTCACCATTTCTAGCTTCCTTTGAGTCCACTTCTACACTAGCTAGTATCTCGTATTCAGGTAGACGGTGGTTTGGCATACACAACACATATCTCAACCACTTTATACGATAAAGATTAAACACCTTATTAGTTAATTTGACATTCTTGACCCAGTATCCTGTATCTAACCTTGGCATTACTCAAGCGATGATCACCAAACGACTGAATAATGCATCGAAGACACATATGACCAAATGTTAGTAAATTACGAATATCTTTTATCTTTAAAGACCACATCTCACATCCATAAAGCAGCATAAAGGAAAGTGACAAACAATAAACTCATCATTTGCCTAATAGATGGACATCTCCCCTACGCTACAAGTGATGCAAATCGGCCAAAATCAAGGTAGGCTTCCGAATCTGTGTCAAGATTTCGTCAGACACTAATCTACCGAGGCTGCGTAGAATTTGAAAATCGATGAAGTGGTCTATAATCGTAAGCACCTATCAACATAGATCAGTCCAAAAGTCAATGACTTCATGGGTCAACGCTATGTCTTGGTTTTTCTGTCCCTAGATTACATCCTATAGACTACTACACTAACAAACATCACGCATCGAAGTGGAGGTTGATTCACCATATCTACATATATATCTATATTTCAAAGCTCCAATTCAATCAATCATAACCGATGTAGGAACCTAAACTGAATATGTATTAGCTCAATTCAGTATATCAAATTAGTATAGTAAGATGAGCTTATTATCATTAAAATAAACATTACAGCACTGAAAACAGTAGTATAAATAATAAACATAAAGATTAGATATAGAAAATATATGGTATTTTATTACTAAAACACACTTTTTTTGTATTCGTCTTATTTATTCACCACCAACCTACAAATTCAGAACTTACAAAACACATAATATTGTACTTTAATTTTGTTCTCATCTCATCGACTATGTTTCTATCAGTTTGTTATATACATGTTTGAACAAGTAGTAATACATAAATAAATAGTAGGCTACTAAACAATTTTATTTATTTTAATTTGATTTTTCTTTTAAAAAGAAAAAGATATGATATTTGGCCTAATTTATAAATACTACTCACTACTAAATCTAAACCTAAGAATATGCATGAAGCCTTACTTATCTATACATATATGTGTAACTAAGGGTTTGAGACAATAAAATCTTCACTATATAAACAGTTAGAGTTTCTTTTAGCGAGTTAGTTTTCTACGAGATGGAGTCGCTAACCCCATGCTCAACCCTCCTCCTTTACCCGGGCTAGGAACCGGCAGTAACTCTAGAAGAGCATTCCAAGTAAGGACAGGAGTCGAACAAGACTGTCTACTCTCTCCCTTCCTCTTTCTTCTGGTGGTTGACTGGATTATGAAGACCTCAACATCTGAGGGAAAACACGGCATACAATGGACAGCTCACAACCAATTAGACGATTTACACTTCGAAGATGACTTAGCCTTCCTATCCCATACACATCAACAAATGTAGATGAAGACAACTAGTGTAGCAGCAGCCTCTGCATCAATAGACCTCAACATACACAAAGGAAAAACCAAGATCCTCAAATACAACACGGAAAACATCAACACAATCACATTTGATGGCGAAACTCTAGAAGATGTAGAATCCTTCACGTACCTGGGAAGCACCATCAATGAACAAGGATGTTCAGATGCAGATGTAAAGGCGACGATTGGCGAAGCAAGAACAGCATTCCTACAATTAAAGAACATATTAAACCTAAAGCAACCGTCAACCACTATCAAGACAGTTCTATTGTACGGGGCTGAATCTTGGAGAACTACTACAACAATCAACAAGAAGGTACAAGTATTTATAAATAGTTGTCTGAGCAATATGCCCAACATCCATTCTCCGGATACCATCAGCAATAGCCTTCTGTGGGAAAGAACAAACCAGATTACAGATGAATAGGAAATTAGGGAAGACTATGGAAATGGATAGGACATACATTACTGAAATCACCAAACTGCATTACGAAGTAAGCCCTAACTTGGAATCCTGAAGGGAAGCAAAGAAGTGGAAGGCCAAGGAACACATTTTGTCGAGAAATAGAAACAGTTATGAAAAGAATGAATAACAACTGAAAAGAACTGGAAAGGATTGCCCAGGACAGGGTTGGATGGAGAATGCTGGTGAGCGGCCTATGCTCCTTCATGAGGAGTAACAGGTTTAAGTAAGTAAGCAAGTACATAAACAGTGGACAATTGAATATTTACACTATTTGATTTGACATGAAGATCAATTGTAACTGTGATGGTTTAATGAAAAAGTAAGGAGAACTATGAATTTTGAGTTAAATTGAAATCTTTATTATATAATATGCAATTTATGAGATCACTTGGAAATATGTATAAAGATGATTAAACGTGAAATTATCTGTAGAAATGTGAAGTCACAATTCCATATTGACTTTAGTATTAAAATATAGATCCTAATTAACTTTGTATATATATATATATATATATTGACTTACCATATATAATATTCAAAGTCGAACTACAAGTGTTTAATATACATACCCTTGTATAATTAGTCAAAAAGTACAAGCATAGAATCTATGTGATTTAAAAATTGATGTACTAGCTAACTTATGGAGTTAAGTGCAAATCTATATCATTCAATTGGGTTAAAAACGGTACATTTACTGGTCAGGTTTTACAATCGAATAGTTTGTAAGGGAATTTGATAGGAACTGTTAGAACTCTTTAAGTTAGAATCTTCGAAAACAGTGTTTTAAATAATATTCAATCTTTCGGTAAAATAAGTTGAAGAATTTCAATATTAAGCAAATATTTTCGTTGCAATTTACTCACGAATACATTCGCCGAAATTCAGCACTTTAGAATGGATTTCAAGTCATTTTTGAAGATTTTATGGAGTTTGCCCTCACTGTTTATTCTTGGGACTAGTTTATTTGACATAGATTTAGTCAATCATGATCTTTAAACGGAGATAATAGACTTTTAAGCCAATGAATGAACCCCTTAAAGGTAAGTTTCTTAATCTGAAAAATTCTTCAAGTAAAATGTTCGCTTTTTTGAGTCTACTGACATTTATAAACAAGCTTTCCGTATATGACATCCCGAACTCAGATCACAGCTACTAGATACAAATCTACAGTCTCATTAAAACCAACAAACTGATTCCTGATTACAGTACACTAGTGGAAAACTGTGAACAGTTTTGCAGGTTTCATTGAAATTGTTATATTACGTTGCTTGTATAAGTTTATGTTATCTTCATATAAACATGTGACGGATTCTAGGAAGCTAAAGTAGGTTTGTACGTTATTGCTACTATTGAACGTGTGATTATTAATTCCTATCTGTAGTAGTAAACTTTACACTTAGTACTGCTACGTCCAAATGTTGTGCCAAGAAGAATATATCTAGATCTCAAAGGGAATACGTTTGTCTGGTCATAATAGATCAGTAGATAAAATATGGGATTGATTGGCATATTCGAACAGATTATTTATACAAGACGCCGATCTCTTTATATTAACTGACTAGATAGCAGAAGAAGAAATCATTGGTCAAACAACAAACTACATATATTAGGGATTTATAACTGTCGTTTCCACATAAAATGGCTCATAAGAAAGTTTTGTCATGAATTATCTATCACAAAACAAATAACTAATTAGGAATAAAAATGGAATTCGCAAAACAATCAAACAATACAATGCATCCTGCTAAAAGACAAAATGGTGTAGGAGAATTAAGATATACTACTGACCATCTCCAAATTATGTACACATAGCCATGTTATTTAAATTCATCTATACACTATATTCAGAGATTGTCAGTCAGTCAGTAACAACGTAGAACTTCGTATGAACGTACATCAGTTCGAGTTGCCCTACCACATTAACACAGAGATGTAGTTGTCTATTCAAATCCCATACTTTTAGAGGTAGTAAGAGTATAAGCAGTGATCGAAAAGATTAGGCTTTGATGATGTTATTCAAGGAGTATAATCCAATGAAATAAATTTGGAAAGAGTAAAAAAAGGAGACATGAAGAATTCTGAACATTAGAATTTGGGAGAACAAAAAGAGTGGATGCACCTGAGCCATTGCAAACCATTTTGAGTCATGTCGTTCAAGGTCTCTGACCATTGGTTGCTATCGTCTCACGGGTCTACACTTAGTTAGTCTACACTAGCCAACATGGCTCACTCAGTTCACTTGTCGGTGACTTCATGGATTTGTGCCATGTTTTGGTTTGGCCACCCCTAGCTTCCTTCCAACCTATTCCTACACCATAAAACATCGCATGTCGGAGCAGTTGGTGATCGAGTATACGTAACACATGTCCCAGCGATCTCAACTGATGAGGTTTCACTCTTACCTAGTACCCGCTTCATAGATTGATACAACTATGAATTGGTCAATTAACTTAAGTTTGCTGATATCAAGCGACCAATAATCTACATCTCAATGACTTTTGTTTAGATAAATACACAAAATATTTATAAACTAATGTAACAGTACATAATATGTAATTATTCATGTTTTAAATTTATATAAACTTAAGAAAATAAACATGGTATAATACCAGATTTTATTTAAAATTACAAGTGAATCAACAGTTTAATTTTGTCTTTTAAGCATTAGCCAATTCTTAAAGTGATTTAAACAACTTACTAGTTAACAGATATATAGTTAGTATAATAGAATGCAAATATGTTCATATTCAACCAAACGAAAAACTGTTTTGATTTCAATACAATCATGATGTAATTAGTTAGTCAATAACCCGACTGTATAGTTAAAGTCAACATAGAGCCTGCCACAGATGTATGTTCCCTCAAGTAATCTGAAATGTAGTTGATTTATTCTTTTTTCACAATCTCCCTCTCCTTCTTATGAAATAAACCATGAACAAGTGACAAGTTTGATCATACGAATGATTACTTTTAGTCGTTTTAAATATTGGTTGCACTAACTCAATGATAAACGATTATTTATCTATTTCACAAATTTCGAAGTTTTTATCCATAATGGTCGGTGATAAATATGAAAGAATTATAACAAGCGTTTGTGATTAAATACTTATATTCTAAATAATGTAAATATCCTAGAAGAAAATTTTGAAACGAATGGAGATATGTTATTAGAAATATGAATTAACAGAGAAGGTAAGATGAGTATAGATCGTTAGCAAGGTGTGTGGTGAATCTTTCGAGGTCATAATTAATATGGTTGTGGATAGACATTTAAAATCATGCAAACTCCTGGCAGGTGTCATTTTATCAGATACTAGCCATCCCCTTCACTCTTATCTTTCTCCTTGTATATCTTCTGGTAGAACGAGACGTAATTACATTAAAATCCATGCACGCAAGGAAAAGTACAAATGTTCTATAATACCTTATCTAGCGAATATACTCTGTGACGAACAGGTTGTAAGAGTTAATCTAGCCAATAACCTGCATTCTTAACATGACTTTAATTTCAAATGTTGTACTGTTTTTCAGACTTTTTTTTAAACTTTATTTTTTGTCTTTGTTACTATTTTTGTTTGCATAAGTAACTTGTTGAAATACCCTGTGCTGAGAATTCTATATTGTACCAAAATATAATATTGAATAAAGCCATTAATAATAATAATAATAATAATAATAATAATAATCGTTTGTTCATTAACAATTTCGAAGGATTTTGAAATGTCAACGTCGTATCTACCATCAAGTAGATGAGTGGTAATACTCAAAATATTCAGTTCTCAAGGTGACATTGACAACACCAAGTTACTGGGTCAAGAGCAATGGTCCGTACCCCAAACTACTAATGACGTATACTAGTTACTGTAAGACCCTCAATTTGACTTACTCCATTAACCATAGCTTCCTATTAAAATGTTGCAACATATTTTACAATTTATTGTCGATTTATTATTTTACTATTAATTGGAGTGGCCTTTTAATTTTCAACTGACGTCGCAATGCCATAAGGTTGAGAGAGTACTAATGAAAAGTCTAAAACTAGAAAGAAATAGCTATTCAGTGCTTACAGATATTCAATAGTTCCCTAGCTAGTCTTATTTTGTTCTGAGAGCTAATTTATACTTGATATATCAAGAGTATATCACCAACTCTGATGACATTGAAAAACATTAAGCATAGAGGTAATTCGAAGAGAAGGAATGAATTCGGGGGAAATAATGTTAAGGCTTGAAATTTTACTTCAATTATATCAAATAATACATTTTATTGGTGCGTTTTCAATGCGATTACCTCTCTTCTAACTTGGAAAGAGTAAGAATAAAGAATCGAGCAGAATAACACGAGCCCACTTGATTTTGTTAGGTTCTTGTCAGCTGCTCACAACTTGTAATATTTAGAATTCAAAATTAAAGTGGGTTGAAAATACTTGCATAATGAATGTAATAGGAATTCGTTGTAATTATATGCCAGCTTAGGATTACAAAGACGTAAATAAATTTTAGTTATTATTCGTCCGTTTGAACACAGAAATTTTAGTATTATTGAGCACCAAAATACACGCCACATAAATAAGAAAATTCGATTGCGGATAAATAAGCCTATCATTGGTCATTAGGTATCGTTTAATTGCACCTCGTGACTTCGTACCACCGCCTCATGGATTAAACCTTTTGGTTGAAGGCTCGATGAGTGGATTTCTAAGAAAACTACTTGTTTTGGTCTGTGAGTACGAGCAAAATTTCAGCCCAAAGGGATCTGTGTATGAAAAACCTTTATTTTTTAACAATATAATCATTTTATTTTGAACGCCATATTTCTTGGAACCTTATTGTGCCAGACGTGTTTTGTGCTAAAAGCACAATAAAAGGCTTGGCATGCATACAAACTACAGTTGACTAAATAACCAATAATCAGCTTAGGGGTTACGGAGACCGTTGAATGTTATCGATATCACGAACCGATCCCAGTTAAAACACCAAATATTCAACAATCTTTACAACCCCCTATTATGATAGTTACCATGCGCTTATTAGTGACCAGCTTAGAGGGCAAATGTTCCGAGTTCTAGTGATAGACAAAGTTTGATTGTGTAGGATGTCAAGAAGATAGCCACTAAAGACAGTAGGAGATGACCGCGCAATAATGCAGATTGGCTGAATTTAGCCATGCACATCATTGGATTCTGGCTGTGGCCTAGAGATTAAGAGTTCACGCACAAGACCGAAGGTACTAATTTTGTTAACCTGTGATAGGTATATGGGTGGCTTATTCAGATGAGTCCCACACCAGAACGAAACAGCTGTCCAATGCTTTATGGTTTTCAGTGGTTTTCTGATTTAAGCCGGTTAGTGGTCTCAATAAATGACTGATAATTAACAAATGAAATTGTAATAACTAAATCACTTATATGTAGCGTGAAAGCAAATAGTGCAACCAAATCTAGAGATTTGTTAACAAATCAATTAACAACTTACTAGAACACTGGATTCTGACGAATGTTTCATACAGTGGAGCTAAAGATGTTTTATTAAAGTTTCGTTTAAAAGAAAACAAAACAGCAATGAACATACATTCCACAGGAGTTTACGCAACAATTCAATACGTCTGCTTTTCATCAAATAGCCACAAATGATAACATCTCCGGTAGACAAAACTTTCGAGCTTTTATTAAGATTTCAATTAAATAAATGATTTAAAGGAACACTATGACACTAGCTTACTTCGAAACCATAATTAGCTCGTTATTTAGCAAAGTGACGCTCGAAAATGAATTTTATTTGCCACGAGACTACCTGGAATATAGTGACGTTTTTCTTTAACTTGGAATCTAGAAGAGAAAAAACCAGCATTAATAGCGATTAACTTTGCAAAATGACAATCATAAAAGCAATGAACCTTTGCCTTAAAGTAGTATAAATAGTCCTCGAACCAATACTTTTGACTCTGACTATGAACAAAAGTAAAATCACGACAAACACCGAAATAATATTCGTTTTCAAGTAGTAACAACCGTTAACACAATTAAAAATCTCGGATTTATGAAGCGCAATTACCAAGTTTTTTGATGTGTGAAAATATCTAGAGTATCATGTTAATGTAGGTGAAATGGGGCTCAAACCTGAGACTGAACGGCTAAGACTTGTGCTACTCAAAAACTGATGTGTCCATTAAAGAGTGTACATTATATATGAAGTTACTTTACACTACTTTATAACTATGAAACCAAGCATCCAATAGTTTAAGATGTATATGAGTAGCCAGTACTTGAACATACCTTCGAAGCATTTCTGTAATTAAATGTAACTACAGAGTAGGTCATGCTGATGTTAAGGTAGGATAATGGGTGCAGAAGATAGGTCTGTTGATCTATTCGTGATTTTTCATCAATTTAAATCGTCTGAACATGCGTCACGCCTGCTTATTTGTCAGTAATCTGAAAATTAATCTTAGCTAATATATAAGGCACTGACTATTCTTATTATAAAATGATATTCTTTGGGTCTTGATTTAAGCTTGTTGTACGTTTGATTTAAACAATTAACTATTCTACGACATTTGGGTACTGTTAATTGAATATATTTCAGATGACTGGGTCTGAGATATTATCAGATGAAAGATTAGGTGGTGAAATGAAAGTGATATTCTAATTTGGATAAAGTGAATTAAAAGCAGCTAGCGCCACAAAATGTTGCGGATTTGTACTACCTAGTATGGGTTACAGTGGACGGAGTCGAGCTAAGGTTTGAGAAACTTCAAGTGCGAGTAGATACAGGCTATCCGCTTAATGACCACAATCAGTCGCTAAAGACTATGGGTCAGAATCTTTCACAATGGCACAGATGTATTGACTATTTATCTCTCTCTCGATTTTGGATTTTAGCATTCCTGTATGCATACCTTTCAATTCTTTCTTTTCGAACCAAAGCTTATAATTATAAATAAATATATTATTTATTTATAGCAATCTACCCAATGCTCAATTTATTTGAAATTATCAAATCAAACCTTGATAGTGATACATACAAAGTTTATTATTGCTCATTTCATTGCTACTACACTTTTCGACCTATATCTACATTTATCTTATTAACTTAATCAGATTGTGTTTATATAATGTGATCATTTGGGAGAATGTACATCTGCGCTAGCACTTACGTCGATCAACTTACTAAAAAACGTGAACCATGCATGAAAAACGTTTTTACATTTTATAGTCATATGACTTACAACAGAAACTAACCAAAACGAAATGCACAGATTCAAATTCGATTTTTGTTATTACCACCCAATATTTGGAAGTAATAGTCTACTGCATTTGCATTTTACTCAGATGAAGATATGGGCTTACTTTACCACTCCATAACAATGTGAACTATATGGATTCTTAGTACCTCACATTCAAGTCTATTCTTCGAGCAGAGAAGGGAACAAAAAGCATTCAACGCAACTATTTTAGCTCGACTGGATAACTGAGAAAAACCCTTTTAGCATGTCACAAGAATAACTGACATAACAAGTGGTCGGGCTCCCAGACGAGTAGTGTTGGTGTTGCGAAAAAAGTCAAGGATTTATGTGCTGTAGGCTGGATCGCAAATTTAAACTGAGTGGTGAGATAAGACATGAATACAATTTCAGCATTCCCTGTGCAGTATTGCCTGACCTAGTATTACGCTGGAAGATTAAAGACAGTTAAATTTGTATGCGTAACCAAAACGTTAATCCGAGTATTCAACAAAATCGTGTGAATGATTGAGGGCATCTACTGTTATAAACCGGTTTTAAGCATCACAGGACCTCTCAAAATCGAAAATGCCAAGATGACATGCACTATGTGGTAAAAAGCTTATCCATCTAGTATCAAAATCCCAATCTCAATATTTTGGGGAAGCCGCTACAGAAATAGCACAAAAACCCCAGAATTTCCCTCGGATCTGGAGGATGAGTAGCAAATAGTAAGAATCCAAAGGGTCCAAAAAGTCTCATCTGTGGGGATTTTTTAATCACTGATTATTCAAAAAACGACCATAAAAACATGCTTTGACAAAGCGTGTGATTGATGACTTTTGCACTCATTATCGACATGAAGTAAGAGATTGAAATATCTTATGAACACCAAAAAAGGAAACTGATAACTTGAGTTGTCAAATATACATTTATAAATATAGGTGCATTTATACGCTTAAAACTAGACAATTTTTGTAATACGAGTGAATCAAAAGCCACTATTCATCACACAAACTGCGTATGAAATACAACATAAAAATTTAAATAACTCTTGAAATAATAAACAGGCCTAATAACTTCATGAGAAAACATGTAATGAGAAAATATTTTAGATTACAATTAAATCAACCTTGAGAACATTTGAAAAGTTGCAGAGTCTTCAAAGCTCAATCTGCAAATTTCGACACAAAAATTAAAAGTTTTTTATTTATGATCTACTATTATGAAAATCGAACATTAAAGTCAAAAACTGTTTTGAACTTTTTTGATTCATAAAAACTCTAGTAAAATGTGGTCTTTGAGTCATGATCTATAAGGACGTCCATTTCGTCTAAATCAGTAACTTAAGTTACATGTTCCTCTGGTTATTTATTTGTCACTAATTAAGAATTTTGCATGCACAGAGATGCAGGTGTGTTATTGTACTACCGATCGTAATGACTGATACCTAAGGCTCGTCAAGTCTCTAATGTTTCTGTTAGAGGCATCCCTGAAAATATCTTTTGAATTTTTAATATTCACTCTATTTCTATGCTTTAAAATTGATCGAAGATATTCCATGTTCTCCCTTTTATTTTTGACTTTTTCAGTGACTATTAAGTTTTGGTTACTCCCTGCGTCGTGTTTGAAATAAATCACACCAGCAACTAATATGTTGGACCATTCCATACTAAATCATCAAGTACAAATCGATTATGGACAATACGGGCCTTAAGAGTCTCGTCCTTAGATGAAGTATTTGGGTGATAACATTCCTAAGAAGTCAGATTTTTATAGGAAAATGTTTATAATACACATGATATCTGTGAGCAACAAAATTCCATATTACATAAAAATTAAATAGGTATTCCTCGAGTAAAATAACATGTTACTGCGTCATGCAGCCCTTCAACGAGTATTGGTGGAATAGAGTTCTCATTTGCCATACTGTCATAAGTATAACCATGGTTCTTCGTAAGCAGTGTAATTTACACACAACGTAGCTGTTTATTGGGATACTGATTTGTAGGTAGTAGGCGAAAGTATGTTCAATTATACTATGGATTTTAACTGTCAAACTGGGTTCTATTCTTACAAAAAAAGGCGCTAAAGACCCGATAGTAAAGTTAGCAGTCAGCTGGCGAGTAAAACGTGCCGTGCTTTAAGATCGAATGGCCTAACCGATCAGCGTAAATTATATGGAAGGGAATAAAAATAAAGTAGTTATTTTGTATTCGCTTATAAACGCCATCAAACCAAATGACGGTACGCACTCATGCAAATAAGTCATGTTGAGGTCTGGAAATGACTTCAGTTTGCATTGTTTATATGATTTGACAGACCACATTTAACTTTTCGGTGGTATTTTCTCTCTATAAAATAATAAAAAATCAGCATAGCATCTTGAGAATCTATGCACCAGACTTCGCATTCTGGGTAGAACTATCAAGTATTTCCTAAACATTTGAGTCTGCACGAACGAATAAGTTTCTATGGGCTCTCTGATAACAAAAGTTTTCCTTCGGCATAATAGTGACACATTTAGCATGGATGAGGCACAAGTTAGTGTCTTCGAAGAGCCCAACAAGGTAGGCTTCGCTAGCTTCCTGGAGAGCAGAAACTGCCGAGCTTTGGAAACGAAGGTTAGTCTTGAAGTATTGCGCAATCTCCAAACGCTGGAAGGGCAGTTTGCGTATCAGTAGTTTGGTTGACTTTTGATAACGACAAATCTCACGTAGGGCAACTGTTGCAGGACGATAACGATGAAGTTTCTTAACACCACCAGTAGCTGGTGCACTTTTATGTGCCGCTTTGGTAGCTAACTACTTTCTTGGAGCCTTCCCACCTGTACTCTTACGGGCAGTCTGCTTCGTACGTGCCATGACTGTGAACAAGTTAGAGGTGTTGTGTAAAAATGACATAAGTTGTCCTTTGTCAATCACTGCTGTTAACATTTTATAAAAGCTGAGAAAACGCACAGTTCAAATTAAACATTGGTATCAGCGCTGTATAATATTCTCTCTCACATATCATGAAGATTGGTTTGTCTAATAAAAGGTAGTTCAAACCGTGAGTTTGCCTCAATTTGAAATATAACCGATATATATTCTATTAATCATATAAATATATTTACATAGTTCTTTCGTCAATATGCTGCAAGAGAAATTATTGTCTATAAATTAAGGACCGGGGACTAAATTCCGATATTGCCTTCATGATAATGAATGGTTATTTTCTGTCTGGACATTTATTGAAATAGAAATGTCTAAAATCAAACTACAGGGTATGGAAAGCACTTACCGAAATTCCCGAACGTGTACAGAGACCATCAAATTAGCATGTTAACAAATATTTGCAGACTGAGGTTTTTTCCTTCAGGCCAAAAAAACTAGCAAAATGATTGTGCACCAGGAACAGTGCTCTAAGTCAGGTCACCCTCTGATTTAATGGCGGTGTTAAACAGAACCGCTTCAGTTAGAAATAACTATTGAACTATTTTTTGGAGGATTACATACCACCACAGTCCACTCCCTCTCTGGTGAAGATTCATTTCATAGAAAATTCAGTGGAATAATCTTTGGGCTTCTGTTTCCATACCATATAACTAGTAAACCTAAATCGGGCTGAAATCCAAATTTAATGTATTGATAGCGATGATCATTCACCCTACTTGTGAAATCCTAGTATCGCTAGCTCGGAAGCGAAGTTCTCATCCCAAAAGCAACATTTTATCAGTATGAACAAGCGTTTTTAGGCTGTTAGTTAGGTTTTTTCTAAGTATTGTCTAGATTACCGGTGTTACTGATATACATCTATGATTAGAGTCGATTGTAGACGAGCGGGAGCATAAAAACTTTCCAGCTTACGTCGAGATCATACTTCGCAGCTAAAACCCGAAGCAAATTATGCTCTTGTGGTATCCAGGTTCTATAGCTACCTCGTGTTGGTACGGAAGAAATGCGTTGTCTCATCAACAAGCTCAATCGACAAGGTATCAAACCACATTTAATTGATTGGCTAACTTCATATCTAAAAAATCGACATGCCAGGGTTAACTCCGATTTCTCTCGGGCTACGGAATTCCTAATGGGGTCCCCCAGGGTTTATTACTAAGACCTCTTCTTTCCTTGACTTATATAAACGATCTTCCTCAGCAGGCGCCGTCATACGTATTACTTTTGTTGATATGAAACTTTGGAGAGACGTTAGATGTTACTTACGCCTGTTACTCCTCGTGTAGAAGCATAAGCCAAACACCAGCACTCTCCATCCAAACCTGTCCTGAGCAATCCTTTCCAGCTCTTCCCAGTTTTTATTCATCCTTTTCATAACTGTTTCTATTTCTCGACGTAATGTGTTCTTTGGCCTTCCTCTTTTCCGCTTCCCTTCAGGATTCCAAGTTAGGGCTTGTCTCGTGATGCAGTTTGATGATTTGCGTAGTGTATGTCCTATCCATTTCCATCGTCTTTTCCTAATTTCCTGTTCAACTGGAATCTGGTTTGTTCTCTCCCACAGAAGGCTATTGCTGATGGTATCCGGCCAATGGAAAATGAGTATCTTGCTTAGACAACCATTTATAAATACTTGCACCTTCTTGATGATGGTTGTTGTAGCTCTCGAAGTTTCAGCTCCGTACAGTAGAACTGCCTTGACGTTCGTATTGAAGACTCTGACTTTGATATTGGTTGACAGTTGTTTTGAGTTCCATATGTTCTTCAACTGTAGGAATGCGACCCTTGCTTTGCCAATCCTCACCTTTACGTCTGCGCCTGAGCCTCCTTGTTTATCGATGATGCTTCCCAGGAATGTGAAGGATTCTACACCTTCCAGAGTTTCGCCATCAAGAGTGATTGGATTGCTGTTCTCCGCTTTGAATTTGAGGACCTTAGTTTTCCCTTTGTGTACGCTGAGGCCTACTGATGCAGAGACTGCTGCTACACTGGCTGTCTTCATCTGTATCTGTTCGTGTGTACGTGATAGGAGAGCTAGGTCATCTGCGAAGTCCAAATCGTCTAATTGGTTCTGAGCCGTCCATTGTATTCCGTGTTTTCCTTCAGATGTTGAGGTCTTCATAATCCAGTCGACCACCAGAAGAAAGAGGAAGGGAGAGAGTAAACAGCCTTGTCTGACTCCGGTCCTTACTTGGAATGCATCTGTCAGCTGTCCTCCATGCACTACTTTGCACTGTAGTCCGTCGTATGAGTTCCGGATAATATTGACAATCTTCTCAGGAACTCCGTAGTGTCGAAGAAGTTTCCATAATGTCCTCCTATCTACACTGTCAAATGCCTTTTCATAACCAATGAAGTTGATGTACAGTGACGAGTTCCACTCAACTGATTGTTCGACGATGATCCGTAGTGTCGCAATTTGGTCTGTGCATGATCGATCCCTACGGAATCCAGCTTGTTGATCTCGAAGTTGGGCGTCTACCGCGTCTTTCATCCGGTTCAGCAACACTCTAGTGAAGACCTTCCCTGGTATTGACAGTAGTGTAATGCCTCTGTAATTTTCACATTTGCTCAGATCTCCTTTCTTTGTATGATGCTTTGATGATTCTGGATCCGTGAGATTCCCATCCTACAAGTGCATTTCGTGCTACTTTGGACAGCATAAGAGCGACTCCCTGAGTGTGTGGAGCATTGTCCTCTTCGTGACCGGAGTATAGCAGCATCTCTCCCGTAGCTACCCTTTTCTGTCCAGCTTGAGTCCAGTGGGTTTCGCTGATTCCCAGTACTGCTAAGTTGTATCTCCTCATTTCCATTGATATTTGACTGGTCTTCCCGGTTTCCCACATTTTTCGAACGTTCCATGTACCTATAAAAATTTTTGCTCTGGTTGTTAGAAGGGGCATCGGACTCGTGGCTTCCGAAGGAACTCGGCTTTCACCATGAAGCGTCATAATTCTTCTAAATGAAGACATTCTAACTCCCAGGGCAGAGTTTAAATGGTTTGAATTATTTTTTTCTGGTAAGCGTTTTTTTAGCGAGTTAGTTTTCTACGGGATGGGGACGCCAACCCCATGCCCAACCCTCCCCCTTTACCCGGGCTTGGGACCGGCAGTAACTCTAGAAGAGCTACAGGCGGAGTTTTGGAGAGAGGTGGCAACCAAAAAATTTGCCGTGACTTCAGCAGGATCTGACTCGACTTCAAAATTTGGCAGGTGACAACGGATTCGCCTTTAACACCTCAACGTGTAAAGTAGTCCACCTGATACATTTTTCAGACTTTAGCTACTACTCTAAAGGTTTTCCAAGTTGAAAATTATCTTGGAGTGTTGGTACCTTGCAATTTGAAGCCTTACGCTAACTGTGACAAAAGTCCTCTCAAGCAAACATTGCTCTGGTAAAATTGAAGCGCATTTTTGGCCAGTTAGACGGAAAACCTTACAACATAATCTTCGACAGTTTTACTTGTCCCCATTCAGAGTACGGGAACATAGTATTTCTTCCCTAACTTTAATAGGAAAAGGACACTCTGAAAAGTATCCCACAGCTAGCCACGAAATCAGTTCGGGTACTTAAATTCAGGCCTTATGAAGAGAGCCTCCAATCACTGAACCTCTACCCACTAGAGTACAGGCGTTTTAGAGGCGACTTCCTTATAGCTTACGGCATCCTAAATACTTCTGAACATCCCCTTTAACACTTCAAGTTAAATCCCAATACAAACCTAATGTGTACCAACGAGAAACTGGAGACATAACACAGCAGAAAAGACTGTAGAGTGGTCAAACGTCGGAATTCGCTGCCGGCTGAGCTAGTCCCAATAACTTCCAAAGAGTACTTTGAAAGGAAACTTGACTAAGGATAGTGTCTTACTATGATTTACCAATTTCTTTTTCCTCTTTTATCAATATTATACCTAGGTTTCTGCCTGAGGGTATTGGTAACCCACTGCTACTAGGCACGGAAACTAGTTAAGCGAAAGCTTCTTCTATTCCATCCATAATCATTTGAAACATTTTGATTACGGTGTTGTCATAACAACGCGTGCACGCTTTTTAAACTATATAATGACATGATTGAAAATGCCTTTCTCGCCGCTTGAACTGCTTGATGAAGACTATTCAGAGCTTTTTCCAGCAACAGCTGTGAAGTCAAATGAGAAAGTCGACAGAAAAGAAGGAAAAGTCAATTCACATGAAGAGAATGTTCCTCAAAGTTTGTGTATAAATAAATAATTGATTTCCTATTACTTCCATTCTTAGTTCATGTAACTGACAAACTATTTTCCGATAACTGGAGTTATAAAGAGGGATCAAACATTTCCTCGCCGGTTGTTCAAATGACTTCTGGAGATGGAAATGAACAACTGAGTTCTCCAGGTAAATCCTTTAGTTTTAAAAACTTTGTGTCTTCATGCCAAACTTCGAAGCTCCTAAAGTTCAGGTATGGATCAGGAACTAATTTCGGCTGAACTCACCATACAAAGCATATATATATAAGCTTCTTCGTTTATACATACTCGTAATAAGTAATAATCAATGAAAAAGAATTAGGCGTTCGTCCGTTCGTTAGAAAAAGTGATGTTTCGGTTTCTTAATCTGGTTTTCTTGTTTTGGAACTTCCAAATTTTTAAATAGTCTTTAAGATGAAGTTTAGCTATTGGTTTTATGTTGAGGAATCCAGTCAACTACGTTCAAACTGAACACTTTGAATGAGTTATGAAGGTGATGATTTGCCATTTCGTCTAAGTCAATTTAAAAGCATTTCAAAAGGATCCTGTTGACGTGTCTTGTGGCGAATATATAAAGCCTCTGATAACTGAAAAAGTCTATAGTTGAAACATTATGATTCATATTCCCAAAACCGTGAATTTAAATTTTGTTATGTTTGAAGAACATTTTATTGTGAAATGTTTTACGCAAAAAAAAAATCACCGAATCATTGAACGAAAAATGACCATTATTTAACCCTATGGCCAAAAGACTAACCAAATTTAGCATCGTTGTTTCCATCATGGACTAGCTGTGGTTAAGCAACCATTGAGTTTCAAAAAGCTCAGACACGCATTCCGTTCGCGTATCGCATCAAAGTTTTTATGCTCAGAGAGACCTGTAGATTCTGGGTCCAACTTTCGTTAGGGTTGTGAACCAGCAGCGTCTTCTCTCGACGAGGGTGTTCTTTACGAAATTGAGAGGACGAAAAGCGAATGTCCGGAGCTTTAATCGGGTTAGTGGATACAGAGGGTCTATAGAGGGGAGTTGGAAAACCCTGATTTCAAACCAATGGTACACATGAACTCCAGAATCTTGGGGGAACAAATGACGTATGAATCAATTATTGGTCATCGGCTACCATGAGATGGCATCTCCTGACGTTGCCTTGTGGATCACACCTTTATGTCGAAGGCTCCGAGTGTGGTCCCCCAAGAAAACCATTTGCCTCGGTTTGGACACCCGAACAGTATCACGTCTCACACTAGTGTGGTGCAGATGTATTCGGTCTTCCTTTGTACCAATATTTATGTGTTTAAATAAGTAAATAAGGCGGTAAAGATCTCCGTGCTAGGACAAACCAGCTGTTCTGTTTTTAATAGTTGTATCACTAAAATCACTCTATGGTGTAGTTATGAGAGTCAAAGATTTCCAAAACTCTTAATTGGCAATTTTACAATAGAATAAACCATTATTATACAAACTCTTGTCACGTACCTTTAAAAATAGTTATTCCGTCAAACTAAGGAAATATCTATCTAACTAACGAAGCGTTAGTAATGATAAAATTAAGATGAAAAATTGCTCTGCCTATGATGGATATATTAAGACATTACAGGTTGAAATTCAGTATTTAAATAAATGTCAAATGGTTTGCTCTAAAGTCAACCGTATAACTTCATAAAATGGAATCTGAACAAGTTTTTGTTGTATTAGATGATTCAAAGACGAGTGAAAATAACCAAATATCCGACGATGAATATCTAAAGGCGGAATGTTTTGGAATAGAAAATAGTGACAAGAAGCTAAGTGAGAAGAGTGAAAAACCAGACAGTAATTCACAACGTAAATTATTTCATCGGACAAATGAAACAAGTGTTGCACCGACAAGTAATAATAATCTGAAAGATAGTAGCATTACATTCAATGAAACTAAAGAGTAAGTTTAGTAAGCATTGATCAATTTCAGCTTGATTTTTGCCCACGTATTTGTTAACTTTTAATACTTGATCTTATCGCGACCCAATTTAAAATAAGTTTGATTATAATCGCATGTTTTTCTATAAGCGTTCATGTACAGCATGTTACCACAAAAAGCAAATAGTCTTTGCAATTTCAAAGAATATTATCACTTGTCAAGGCAAAAAGACACCAAATATAAAAGAAATAGATAAGATGTATTTCTGAAAGGTTGATTGACCGAACTCTCAGTCTGTAACAACTTCTGTAATATATGAATATTTACAATCGCCTTGCACTACACAATTATCTAAACAAGTAAGAAGCAGTTGACAGTGTTTGTCGGAGCGTATAAGTTTTGTGCTTAAATGCAAACAATGTTTTCATTTTCGGCCGCTTGAGTGAGTGATAAATTTTGACTTTAATTTGTAATTTTAGTTATTACGACCAGTTTCTACGCATGCGTAAGGTTATTTGAAGACATGAATGAATAAACTCTTGGACAATTGTTTTATTCATCAATAATGATCACATTCTGCTTGTGAAATGAAAACAGCTGGTGATCTATTTGCTCATATATTTTGTTCATGACGATACTCTGACTGTCTCAGATCAATTTTTTAATGAATCTTTAAATACGTTACACAACTATTTAGGGATGAATTCATGGATCGAAAACATCCCAGTCCCAGTTGATTATCTTCAGAATTTAAAAATATGTGGTTGTAACAAAGTGTTGAGGATTATAATATCATTTTAGAATTTAGCGATCAGTGGAAACTCGATCAATAAAATATCATGTAAATCAGAATTCCCCTGTGTTCCTCCTACACATTATTCATTTATTTATCTGGACACATAAATATTGGTACAAAGGGGAGCCAGATACATATGCGCCACATAATAATAATGATAATGTGAAGATATAAAGAATGTAAGATGTGTATAAGAAAAAGGAAGTACAGCAATGAACAAAAGTTAGTGTATGATAGTGAAATAACAATAATGTGATAGTTCAATTAGAAAAAGTACAGCAACAGAGAATTCTTCCACTTAAAGAAGTTACGTCCTACATATTTGTCGTTATTAATAATAAGACGGTGAACAGCGAGATATTTTTAGACTTCATTACTGAGATTTCTATTTAAAGGGTTAATCAATCAAAACCAAAGTCTTATTAATAAATTAAAAATTGAAAATTATCTAGGGTGGCCATAAATGGCTTAGTTATTGGCTCACTTTTGTTAACTAGTGATAATGAGCTTAGCTTTGCTGAGAAAACGATAAAGAAGTTAACTAAACTTGTTAATTTAATCAACATTCAATTTTTCCTAGCGGTATCAACATTCGATAGCGAATATGTATGTGACTCTTTGCTTACTCAATGTTGAGCAACTTTGTAGTTGACGAATACTGACTATACTATCTCAAGATATTCTAGCATTCATTTTATTCAAAGTATGAATCACTGACTACTCCTAAACGTCTATGCTTTTGGAAGTCATTGGCTAAATAGCTTTCGTGCTTGTCGTTATTATTGAACTAAATAGAAAAATTAAAATTACAATAAAACCATAGAGACTGTAATATGCACTACTTATGATATCTTGTTCGGTGATGTTGATTTACAGTATATTTGAACATTTTATTATATTTCATCACCATTGTTCTTCTTCAGTACTAAATTTAAATCAAACGTTATTAAACTTTAAATGATGTTATACAGTTCTATGGTGTGATCCATTTCACTTTTAGAAAGGAAAATGATAAAGCAAGACTGTCAGACGATATAGAACCTGTTATAAAACCCACTATACGCACTAGAAGACATATTCTTAGTTCAAAGTAAGCTAAATATTATTCTTATCACTGGATTCATTTTAACACGAATACTATGTCTTATTTGAACGTTTCAGAATATTTATTGATTTGAAATGACTTATGCTTATTAACAATGTGTGATACCATCCAACATCTAGCTTTTAAAAGACTAATAATAGTGTGAAACAGATTTTTAGACGGTATAGTTTTTACTTATTTACAGATGAAAATATCGAATTAAAACATTATAGTTTTAGAATATAACAATAATTACTTACTTACGCCTGCTACTCCTAATGGAGCATAGGCCGCCGACCAGCATTCTCCAACACACTCTGTCCTAGGCCTTCTTTTCTAATTCCATCCCATTCTTGTTTATTTTTCTCATGTCTATCTCCATTTCCCGGCGTAATGTGTTCTTTGTTCCTCCTCTCTTCCTTTGGCCTTGATGATTCCATGTGAGACCTTGTCTTGTGACGCAGTTGGGTGCTTTCCTCAATGTGTGTCCTATCCACTTCCAGCTCTTCTTCCTGATTTCTTCCTCCGCTGGGATCTAGATTATTCTTTACCACAGTTGATTGTTGCTAATATTGTCCGACCAACGGATCCGAAGTATTCTATCTAGACAACTGTTAATAAACACTTGTATTTTCAGGATGATGGCTTTCGTAGTTCTCCAGGTTTCCATACCATACAGTAGAACTGTCTTGACATTTGTATTGAAAATCCTAACGTTGTGTTGGTGCCAATTGTTTTGAGTTCCAGATGTTCCTCAGTTGTAAATATGCTGTTCTTGCTTTGCCGATCCGCACCTTCACATCTGCATCAGACTTACCGTATTCATCAATGGTATGTAAAGGTTTTCACATCTTGCATATCTTCTCCGTCAATTGTGACTGGATTGATGCATGATGTGTTGTATCGGAGAATCTTGCTTTTCTCTTTGTGTATATTGGGACCTACTACTGCTGAGACTGCTACTACACTGGTCGTTTTCTCTTGCACTTATTGTTGCGTTTGCGTATTGAAGTACTCATTACCTTTAGTTTTGTACTTTTCCTATAAATGTCCTCTTAAATCCCATAGGAGTAAAGCTAGAAATTTTCAGATCTAATAAACAGGGTGTTAACTTTTAGACTACTATGTTAAATAACACTCTGAAGCTCTGCTATGGTTTAACCATGTGTACATTTGTTCATTTGCAATCTCAAAATGACAGAAAAAATATGAAGCTAATATGAATGGTTTGCTAGTGATGTGTTTTCCAGCCTGAAAGAACGATAGTTCAATTATGAAACTTTTAATACCATTTTAGATGTCATCAAATAGAATTCGTAGCGTATATGTTCTCAGTGTTCAATGTGTTTGCAGTATTAAACATTATCAAGTGTTTTTCCATCCAGTTAATGGGTGAGTGCTACATATAAGAGCATAGTTTTTACTGAAGATTTCATTTCAAGCCCTAACTTTTGATACGTTTGCTTTCGTCATTCTGTAATTCTGAATGCATTACAGTAGCATGTTCATAGAGGACATATATAGATAACTCGAGAGGATGGAAATGAAATTTTTAGTGAAAATTTTTTTCTTAGCACTCTGGATTCTGAATCCAGCGACCCGAGTTCGAGTCTCGGCGAGGCCTCGTTCTGTAAGCATTTTGCCCTCAAATGCACTGGTAAGACCGAGAGTGGAGCCAGTCTGCTCTCCCTCTCCAAATGCTCTCATATGGTCACGCGTATATAGCCACTACCAGGAAAGTTCTACTCACTGCCTTCTCCAAACAAGGGTGTTGTTTACGAAAATGATAGGACATAAAGTGAACGTCCGGCGCTTTAACCGGGTTGGTGGATACGGAGAGTCCACCTAGGGGAGTTGGTAAACCCTGATTTCAAACCAATGATGCACATGGGCTCCAGTATCCTGAAGGAACAAATAGCGTATGAACCAGCCGTTGGTCTACGGCTACCATGAGACTGCATCTCCTTACGATGCTCCACTTCCTTTTGGATCAGACCTTTAGGTCGAAGGCTCTGAGTGTGGCTCTCTAAAAAACCACGTGCTTCGGTTCGGACACCCGGGCAGTATCACACCCCTCACACATATCAAATGATATTTGTATGGTGCATATGTATTTGGTGCCTCCTTGTACCAATATCTATGTTTTAAAATAAATAAATAAATGTTTTTATATGCAGTACTCAACCACAAAATTAACGAAACAAAATACTCGTAAATAATAGATATTGCACTTTTATTGGACAGTGATAAAAAGGATGGTTGTCATCAAACCTAAATCTTCTCATTAATTCAGTTTAAATGATCAGGTTATGAAGGGATAAAAATTAAGACAATCGATTTTATTTTACCATGATATTTATTCTGTATAATATTCGGCAGCATGTTGACAATTTCAATTACTGGATTACTGCAGCATTGCTATATATTAAAGCGATAGTTATTTTAAATTTTATCAAAAAGCACTATAACGTAACTATGCATATAAATGGACTGTATTGAGATAATATTTAAAAAGTAATATTTGGATGTGAAGTGGATCTTTACTTGTAGTCTGTGTCACTCCCTCCCCCCACTCTCTTTGAGTTGAGTTATATTCCATTCTCACCTATGTGTTACCAAATAAAGAATTGGACTGAGACTAGGATCAGGTGGAATGAGAAATCAATTTCCTTTATTCACCGATAAAAATCAGAGGTTCGAACCTAATAAAGTGTTTCAATAACAGTCTAACATTTGGTCAGGAGAAATATTTCTTTAATTACAAAGATTTCCTCCTAGAAATTTGAGATTCATTGATCATAGTAGTAATGGTATGCCATGAAAATACTGTGATCCCTTTCTGTTAGCTTCTTAATTAATCATTCATTTCTAATTTATATATCGTGCACAAATGAATTGGTTTACCTTCCTTTTTAAAGTCAGTTGATGATGTGATGAATCTTTATAAACGTAACCACTGCCTATTTCAGAGGGCGGTTTTTACTGATTTAACAGTAGATTGGCTAGTTGACTGAACCGTGTATATAGGTCCGGATTACCGGATTGTGGTCTTCACGAGGATTGAAACCAATTGTTGGAGATGTCATTAATGTTTAAAACCGATCACAATAGAGTAAATGCATTTTCTCTTTATCTTTCCTTAGATTTTGAGTTTTAAAATGATTTTGAACATTTTTTTCAACAAATTAATTCTTTCCTCTTGAATAATATTGGCTATTCTTAATCATTTTTATTAGTACTCATACTGTTACCATTTCTACTACTCTGGGACTTATATTTATACTTTCATTTCACTATGTTGATATGATATAATAACTTGAACTGATGTACATATACACCGGGTTCTATGTTACTTTAGATCAACTAAATATTAAACTCATCTATGTTATATAAATGAAATCTCTCAATTATTGACCGAAGTACTGTATTTTCCAAATTGACCATGAAACAATCAGTCATCTATATTATGTCTTTTTTTCCTATCTCATCTTTTTCATCAAGCCAACCAACAACTTATAATATTACTTTGACTGATCAAAATGATCAATCACTTGGTAATACATTGGTGATTACTTCGAAAGAACAACAAAATATAATTAATAATAATAATAATACACAAACTACTGATATAATTATAAAATCAACTTGTCAATCAAATGATAGTCTAAAATCATCACCAAGATTATCATCAATTAAACGATCAAATAGTTTATATCATTTAACTAATCAAAAAGCATCCAACAAATCTGCACATCATAAATATCAAAATAATAATAATAATGAATATCCATTGAATGCAGTTGTTCTACGTGATTTAGCTTATCAATCTTGGAGAAATCGTTTAGTTAAAAGTGCACGTATTGAACGTATATCAAATTTACGTAATGAAATTGATGAAACAAAAAAGGAGAAAGAGGTAAAACATAATTATTTTATATTTTGATTATTTATTTAAATTTTATACAGTTGAGATCATGATTCAATTGAAGCTAGACCACTACCATGAAAAACCTGGAAGCACTCGATGGGCAACTCGTCCTATTGTGGGACTCCTCGTCAGTGCGCATCCACGACCCCGTCTCGCGGGATTTGAACATAGGACCTATCAGTCTCCCACGTGAGTGCTTAACCTTTAGACCACTAAGGTAGCCGGCATCCAACGGTGTTAATGTCTAACTTCAACCGATCCACGAAATTTTATTGGTTAATATTCAGCTTCTAATCAGAGTAAATATCTAAGTCTTACCGGATGTTAACTAGGTCGCTAATAGTTGAGTGTTAACATTTCTGATAAGTATTAAATTGAAGTCCCATAAGGGATAAAAAGTACCCAAAATATCGCATATATGTGTTTTTAATGAATGTAAATTAACACGAAATTTTATTCGACAGAGGTTTCTTGAAGATTACTTACAGCTTCCCGACAGAACAATATTCTTGATTGAGATCATGAACCGATTGACGTTAGACTACCACTGAAAACCTGGAAGCACTGGACGGTCGTTTCGTCCTATTGTGGGACTCCTCGGCAGTGCGCACCATGATCTCAATCAAAAACCTAATAATCTCCACAACTCCTATACTGATAACAATATTCCATCAATAAATTGAATAAGCCTAATTGCAACTAAACAAAGAACAAATTACTTACATATCATGGGTGAAAACATATTTTTAAACGTGTATACGATTAAACTCGAACAATTGTTTGGTTTCCCGGTAAACTCCTTCTACGAACCAATTCTTTCTTCTTGTACTATATCTCTATATGCAATCTTTCTCTTATATATTACCACCTTTGGCCTAACCACTGCTGTGAATCCGGTGTTCATCTTGTTGTGATGATGCGGTATGGCAACCTGGACCGATGCACATATGTGCCTGGTCCTACGTTGTAGCTGACTGACTGACTGACTCAAAATTAAACGTTACCGTAAATTGTGATCATTTGTAACATGATTTAAGAAAGATATCCCTAATATCTGTTAGAATAAACCCTGAGATCGACCTAAGAGAACTTCTACAAATTCAATTTTCAATAACTTCAGTCAATCCTCAATCTTCATATTAATTAACTTCCATAACTCTTTATGTGGAAATGTTTCGTTAAACATTTATGTCCTTTCATATGTCTGTTTTATTTTGGAAATATAAAGATATGATGATGAAAAGTGTATATAGTTTATCTAATCCTTGATTGATAAAGTTACTTACTTACTTACGCTTGTTACTCCTAATGGAGCAAAGGCCGCATGATTGATAAAGTACTTTTCATTTAAAGGGGATATTAAATCCATGTCTCAAGTGAATAAAATTATGTGATCTTAAAATACTTATATTTTGAGTACGAGGTTAGTCAACCATTTTCTGAAATGCAATAGGCATATGATATCCAGTGTTTTCATTTAGTTTCCTGTTTATTTATTGAGTTAGTAAAGCATATCAGAATGTAAACTTCATTGAGGATTTCATCCGATTTTTGTGTTCTTTGGTCTTCCTCTTCTCATTTGGCCTTGAGGATTCCAAGTGAGGGCTTGTCTTGTGATGCAGTTGGGTGCTTTCCTCAATGTGTGTCCTATCCACTCCCAGTGCTTCTTCCTGATTCCGTTCTCCGTCGGAATCTGATTTGTTCTCGATAGTGTTTGGCCAACGAATGCGAAGTGTTTTCTGTGGACAATTGCTAATAAACACTTGTATCTTCTGGATGATGGGATTCGTAGTTTTCCAAGTTTCTACCCCATACAGTAGAACTATCTTGACATTCGTATTGGAAATTCTAACTTTGGTGTTGGCTGACAGATAGTTGTTTTGAGTTGCAGATGTTCTTCGATTGTAAATATGCTACCCTTGCTTTTCCGATCCACGCCTTTACATCTGTATTAGTCATATACGTGGTACTCACCCATTAACTAAACGAAAATATGCCAGAGGATGTAGAATATCGCACTCATACAAAATATAAAAATGTGAATGGATAACCGCAAACTTTTTAGATGATTGTTCAGAATATCTTGTATATTTACAAACAACATACTGTTAGATAAATCTGTTTGATAGTAAACCTTCAATTTGTTAAATTTAATTTATATATATTTTAAAAAAATATAGAAATTAGAAAGAGTGAAATCAAATGAAATGTGTTTTCAAGCATGGAAGCAAAGTAAACATCAACTTTTAATTGATGCAATTAAAAAACGTAAAGCAGAAGAATCGGCACAGAAAAAGAAGCTTGAAGAAGAACAGGAACGTAAACTGAACTCACAAAAGGTATGATTATTTAGTGCGCTTCTAATGGTGAAGTCGATTATATGTATGTTAAGTAGTTGGGTTTAGTCAACAGCAAATAGTGAGTCTAAGCTCTGTCTTATTGGGTACTCGTCGGTAAATCATATCTCCAATCTTGAGGGAAATAATGTTCCTTATGGGATCTGAACCTACACTACTCAGCTTTACAATCTACAGCGAGACGCATCTCGAATACCTTATCTTAGACTCTGAATCGTGGTTACATGAGCTCAACACCAAACAGCTTAGACTAGTGGGAACATTGCAACTTAGTAGACAGCATTCGAACTAGACTAAGATTTCATCAGTTTGATTATAATATAGGTTTTTATATTAAATGCAGATTATTTAAAAGGCAATTAGTAACTTTGGTGTGGTTTCTAGTTAGGATGTTAATGATTCACAGTTTAATCCTTTTGACTTTGAGCGTTTTTAAAGAAGATGGGGTGAAATCTGGTATTCAATAATTTTACTATGCATAGTTTTTTGTACCCATCATGTTCGGTCGATAACGTTTGAAACGCTGTCTGTAAATAAAGTAATATGACATGGCAGTTTACTTTGTTTCATGGTTGAAAACGATTAGTTAAAAACCTTAGGCTTTACTTTCTTAAGAAAAACCAGTGATGATTGACTGAAATTAACAGGTACTTGAAGATATGAAACATGGATTCAGGGCGTTTTATGACTGTTGCTTACTAATATTCCCGGGTTTAATGATATTTTGTACATCACAAAGACAATCATTAAAACTACTGAATGGCTGAAAATATGGACCGCCGCATGTCAGCTCAGTAGACTAAAGCTAACATATATATATTGTGATTGGAAGAAGATTGTGGATACACTTTGCTGAGGATGTTCGAACTGTAATGAAACATTTTTCCAATTTTCTCTGACCTCCATTAGTTGTCTAGCAAACGTTTCCCTGTTATTTTAGCTATCATCATCCCTTGAAACTTGACAGCTTAGCAAAAACAGTCGGTTGATCATCTATAGTGATTGAATTTGCAAAGGATTTCCTAAGTTCCAACAAGAAATTGTAACCGAATAAATCCTATTATGTCAAAGTTAAAACGGCTATCAACAGATGACAATGAAAAACAGTTGTACAACATAGCTAATTGACTGAATTTGGAAATATATATCATTAGATGCCAACTCAACGACCTACTGACACTATACTCACTACAATACATGAAGGTCTTAAGTTCAGTCGATCTTCATCAATAAATAGACTCAAACTGAGACAGAACAACTATTCAGTATTTTCTGTTTTCAATAGTTTTCTGTTAGATAAAAATGATTGAGAATGAACCCCCACAAATCACCTATCCTAAAAGTAGTAGAAAAAAATGCACCACTTTAGCAACTATATTGAAGTCACTATAAAAATCAATCTGTATATATTTTTAGCAGACATGGATAGCGGCTGGCAATGGAATCCAGGACGTGCATTTTGCCTTATTTGAAACTTATCAGCTGGATGTAGCTCCTACATCCCAGAGTTTATATTCACTCCGATATAAAAACAAACAAACACTAAAGACAGTCAATTCACGAACGTTTTGTCCCTTTTAAATAAGTTAATAACTGAATTTTATAAATATACTGTTATTTATCTCATGCACAAATGATCTGTACATTATCTTCATTCTTTTCATTGAAGGCATTCAATGCATGGAAAGCACATAAAGATGAATCAATCATTAAACAACATCGTGAAAATTTATCTAAACAAAAACGTGAACAACAATTCAAAGAAACAGAACAAAATGAGAAACAATATTTAAATCAACAGGCATTTGAAGATTGGTAAATATAATATTTTTTTTTAAAAATACTCCAGTAGAAAACATGGCTTTGTATATATTTGGTCCACTAGAGTGCTTGGTACCTGTGTGGTTGCACCACAGGATTGAGTTGTACTATTCGATTTGTAGCGTTAAAGCCTATATGATGTTTGTCTCTCCTGTTAAACAGGATTGAGCCGTACTGTCTGGATGGTGTCCGGTTCTCCTGAAAACCAATGTAAAATTACCCTGGTACGCAAGGGTAAATTATGTAACTATAATGTGTATATATTAGATAGCTTAATCAGTATAATACTAGTTCATTAACGTACAGATCACTAATATGAATTCTTTGTATAGTTTATTATGTTTAACTATTATGTTAAATATAGTCATTTAAAACAATATAATTATTGATAGTAATTACTAAAAAACAGTCAGTCTTGAGTGGTGTTAGAGATATGATGGTGGTTATCACTTCCCGGTTGCCCACACCGTGGAAGGGTTCTTCTGAGGGTACCTTTAAAGGAAATTTGATTAAAGGTGGTCATAGTGACCTGAGAGCGTGACCTCAGTGCCCGAGGGACAACTGCTTGACATCGGTCACACACGACCTTTTTGTGGGTAATTTTTGTGCTAGCTCAGTACTTGTTGAGACCTTACTGTCGGAGATTGCTATCCATGGGATAAGGCGAGGTGTGCATTTTTAGGGTCGACCTTTTTTAACCCCATCCGTCCTTGTGGGAAGGCAGCATCGCTATTATGCTGGTTGTTTGACGGAAACACCTTACTACCATCCCACCTCTGTACAGTCAACAGTACGACTTCGCCTTCAGACCTTAGGTTTGCTGCTTTTTTTATTGCTCGTCAAATGACCTGTCTGGCACGGCAGGATCATGAGGAACGGTTGTTCCAGCCAGTATAGCTCGATTGGTTCATCACGATAGGTAAGCCCGACCACCACGTCAAGATAGCAACAACAGTCGAGTACTAAAAGACAATTGTAAAGTAATTCTAATTACAAGGATAAATAATATGAGGAAACATGATTAACTGAATGGATTAACTGATGAGGAATCAAACGTTTCACTAGACAAAGATATTATAATAAAATAACTTATGATAACCATAAGTTAAAAACAAAAACTTGACTGAAATGAACAAATGAAGGTGTTATGATGATTAAATAAAAGTTGAAAGACAATGTGAATAATGGGTAAAATGGTTAAAAGTTGAACAAACAAAATAAAATATTAGGAAATTCAAAGAAAAAATAAAGGAAGGGAAGATAGTGGTGAATCAATCACTATAGGGGGTGGTGGTTTAGTTCTTTTATCAAACATAGATTAGAGTTGAGACTATTCAGAAAAGCAGCAGGTATTCGTTATTTTTAGGTAATCATGACAAATTGGTTGATGAGATAGTGAACCTTCATCAACTGAGATTATATGAGTATGTAACATGCATGCCAAACCATAGCCTAACTCAACGCGCGATGTTGTTTGATGTAGTAGGCTTGAAGAAAGCTAGATTTGACATCAGTTCATGAGGTTAGTGAAAACTGCACTGAACCCTGTTGATAAATGGGGTTTACCTTGTTACGGTTTACGCGATTATTGTAACTAGTGGTTGAAGATTTTGGGTGACGTGACTGGGAATTGGTCACAATGACAAAGACGCATTCACTCTTTGTCTTTCTTTAGAGCTTGAGCTTTAAAATCATTTATACTATTTATTATGCGAATTCATTTTCTCTTCTGGAATAATATTGTCTGTTCTGAATCATTTCTATTACCTACGATACTGTTACTACTTCAAATTAGTCTGGAAATTTGTCTTGATAATTTCATTACACGAACCTGATGTGATATGGCAACTTGAACCGACACACACATATGTCAGCTTCTACGTTGGTTATGACTGATTACCACATTGAATATCACACATTATTATCCAAAAAGTTCTCATACACTAATAGTTTTGTTGCTAAATTATCCGATATCTAGTCGCTAGTTTAATCGTCATCCTATATACTTTGGTTCAGACAGCTAGATGGTAATAACAGCTGTAGTGTCATTCATTATTTTAAGCCCATATATCTTATTCTAGCTTTCGGACATTCCATTCTATTCATTCTACTTGAGTCATATTTTGACCTTGTCAATTATTCGCTTATCAATCTAGACTGTTTTTATATGAGCGTATATGTGTGTGCCCTTTTTATTCCATTAATCACATGTCTGTAGCTTTATTTTGTCTGACTATAAATATTGAGTAACGCCTGACTAAAATGGAATTGGCTTCCCAGCCATCTTCCGTACGTGTCATTTTGCTTTGCTCTGTTTCATTCGCTTCATATACAAAATATATGTATTCACAAGTCCATTCTCGTTATTCGACTTATTTAATTCCGTTATTGACTAACGCGATTTAAGTCGACGATTATATAAGAGAATAGGCGATAACAATCATTTATACGATCTTGGAGTCAGATCCACGGGCCACTAAACAGCTCTAAAATCCTAAAAATAAACAGTAACTTAAAGCCAAATACATCACCATGTAATAGATCATTGTGTTACAGTAATTAATACATCTCTCTCTCTCTCTGTTAAAATTCCTATTCACATTCACAAAGTTAATACTTTTCATTTAGCTTCACATGTTCAACGAATTCAAACGTTTATCGTGTTCATTCTTCACAACCAGTGTATGTTCTTATTTCATAAATTATAATACATATTGCTTTTTTTAGATAGAGAATAGTTGAAAAGTAGGGTTTTAGTCTCATTTTGTACTACAAATCATACTATTTGATTGACATTTGTGACTTCAAGTACACGTAAAGTTCAGTCATTTTGTTCATCGTTAATTTTCAGTGTTGAGATATGATAGAATCGTTTTCTGTCTGACATTTGATAATCTAAAACAAAATGAGACTGATAAATCTAATTTTCGATTCTCTACCATCGTCGATCATGATAAAACTAATGTATACTACCAAAACACTCGGGATAGACTAAGCGACCACAAGATCATAGTGCACATGTTAGTCTAGAATGATGTTCATCGAACCATTCCGCATTAAGATGCTGAATAACGACTGTAATTTAGTTAATTTTAATGAGGTAAACATCACTAGATACTTAAAGCTAGGATTTAGGATTTGTAGTGTCGGTTATTATATTAAGCCCATATACCCTATTCTAGCTTTTGGATAGCCCATTCTATTCATTCTACTTGAGTCACATTCTAACCTTGTTATTTATTCGCTTATCAATCTTGATTATTTTTATATGAGCACATAGGTGTGTGTACATTTCTTATCCCATTACTCATTACATGTCTGTAACTTACTTTTGTGTAACTATAAGTATTGATTAACGCTTGGTTAAATGGAAGTTGGTTTACCAGCCATCTCTACTCTGCGTCGTTTCTCTTCTCTCTATTCCATTCGCTTTATATACAAAATATATGTATTCAAAAGTCCATTCTCGTTATTCGACTTATTTGATTCCGTTATTGACTAACGCGATTTAAGTCGATGATTATATGCGAGGATAGGTGACATATACTACTTATCAGTAATATTTTAATGACTTTTCACTTTTGTAATTAAAATTAAGAACAAACACCTTTTTACTGAAATCGTTATTAACTCAGTAATCGACTAACCAACAAATTTAAAACTGTGACTCCCCTGAAAACATTTGACAGTATATTGATTAATGGGTTGTAATAAAAATTAGAACTGTCCTAATCAACCACAGATAAACTCATTATGAAATGAATGGATTAGCTTTCAAGAAGGAGTAGCAAATCGTTCCAACTCAAACTGAACAACTTGTATGAGATTATGAATAATGAAGTGCCCATGTATATATACTACTCACCTGCCATTACAAACTAGCAATGCAAATAATTGGGGTCGCGTAGTTGTTTATATTAAGTATTCTAACGAAGATGTAACATTGTACGGTGGCTCCATAAGCTGATGGGGAATATCTCTCACCACCTCAATACAATCTAAAAATAAACCAAAGTTTTAAACAAATTTATATTGAGTGAGTAAAAAAAAATAAAGAACAATGAAGACGGTGCCGTCGAGCTGCCACACGCCTCAACTGTCAAATCCAAAACATCGAACCCGTAGCGTCGGCTATCGTTGACCTTGATGAGTTGAGATAGAAAATCTGTCTGATTAGTTTATTATAATGTCATAATTTGACTGAGATTAGGTGCTATTTTATTGAGCCTACTAATAACTAATTTGAACATTTTGATTAAGGCATTTAACAATACAGATAATATATAAATGCTTGGGAATAAAAATGAATATAGTTTATTTAAATTCCCCAACAGGAAAGCCAAAAAAGATGCCGCATTAAAACAAAGCCTTCAGAGCAAAAGAAAACATCAAAGTGAAAAAGAAAAACAACTAGAAGAAGCTAATCGTATTAAAATGGAACAAGCAGCTGAAGCTTATCATCAATGGGAATTAAAAAAGGTATTATTTTCTCGTATTATTACTAGCGTAGACGTTTTGTGCAGATTGTTGATTGAGTCACTCACAAATAAATCCAGCAATCTCCAGGACCTCGTTCCCACACCATCTTCAATACTAGTGATTAACTTCGTGAAGCGATTTCCAGAACACTTGTGAGAAGCCATGATCAGTGGAGTTCAATTGTATATCAAGTGAGGCATCTACTCACCAATTGTATGATGAGTTAAATAATATATCGACCGACCTGCAGTAGAATCATGAAAACATATTGCTAAGAAGTCCCATACTAAAACGAAAGTTTCCCTTGTTTTCAGTAGCCGTTTAGCCAGGTTCATTCCATTGTTGTTGAACTAAATAACAGTTGGTTCTTATCACAAAACGATACCAATTAAAGTATAGGTTGCAAGTTGTACTGTAGTTCGACAAAAAACCTTTTGACCATAGATTCAAATTTAAAATAAACACATCAGGCAGTTGATTATATTGCCTTGCAGCACAAACTACTTGGAGTTGAAATAATACGAACCACTGTATTACCGACTAATTTTCTCAATTAAAGAGGAAGAATATATTTGTAAAATCTCAGCGAAAGAATTTGAAGTAAATCCAACGTTTCGCCTGGCAATCTGGTCCAAGCTTTTTCATATAAAGTTTAACGGTGTGTTAAAACACCGAAGAATTCTTAAAATGCGAACTACCTATTGGAAGAAAGCAGTGAAAAACAATCTGAACAAAATGCAAACTACTACGCAAAATCATGATTTTTGTTTAAAATTTAGAATAGCACTTATCAGAGGCTGTCTGAGTCCAGAACTGATATTAGCTTGACAACCATTTAAAGCTATGGAGTGTTGGACAACTAATTCGTCCTAGTTTGGAGCTTGCACTTATTATTTACCACGAATTCACAGGATCAAACGCTGAATTTTCAAGTCCTGAGTTTAGTATTTATACAGTATTTGTGCAGATACTCCAATAAGAAGTAATTTTGATTATGAACTGATATGAGCCCAACGAACATTAGAAACTAATAATCAACAGTAGATAGTTATTTCGTCATATTTTTGAACTTCTGAGCATTGGGTATACACGATCGCGCATCATATCTAAATTAGACCCTTGGGTTCCACGGTGAAAACCATACATTTTGATCAGTGATTTAAAATACAGTGTTCTATACTCATTGCTCTAGTCGACTTGCGATATTGTTTAACTATCATTTAATGCCACTTATATTTTCCTCACTTCTTGCATGGCTGAACTGCAATGATCATAGCTTCTCTGTAGAACATCGGGAACCCATATCATTATTAACGTCATAACTATTAGTAGTGGAATGAAAGGTTTTTGAGAAGTCTCCTCTGTCTGAAGTTAATTTTTATCAAAAACTAATATCAACAAGGTCGTGTTTCTGCATTAATAAGGATTCTGTGACTAGAACAGAAACATATATCAACTGCATCCTATTACCTAATATTTGTCTATTTATTTTAACATATAGATATTGGTACAAGGAGGCACCAAATACATATGCACCACACAAGTCATTTGATTTGTGTGTAGGCTGTGATACTGCCCGTGTGTTCAAACCGAAGCAGGCGGTTTCCTTAGGGGGCCACACTCGGAGCCTTCGACAAAAAGGTGTGATCTACAAGGCCACGTCAGATGCCGTCCCTTGGTAGCCGGTGACCAATAATTGATTCATACGTCATTTGTTCCTTCAGGATGCTGGAGCTAATGTGCACCATTAGTTTGAATTCAGGGTTTTCCAACTCCCCTAGGTGGACTCTCCATGTCCACCAACCCGCTTAAAGCACCGGATATTCGCTTTTCGTCCTCTCGATTTTATAAACAACACCCGTGTTGCGAGAAGGCAGTGAGTAGGACTTCCCTGGTAGTGGCTGTATACGCGTGGTCATGTGAGATCATTTCGAGAGGGAGAGCGGACTCTCCCCACTCTCGGCCGTACCAGGGCATTTGGGGGCAATATTTATCTAGCTGATGTCATTCCTTGACATAATTGTACATTAGAAAAAAATTCACATTAATGACGTTCAATGAGTATTTTTATTAATTGTTACATGGGAAATAATTATTAGCTAATGTAACTCAGTGGAATAAATAAATTGAATTCTATAAAGCTTTCTATGGAATTTTGAACAACCGTTCAAAACCGGGAAACATTGAGTGGCTGTTTTGTCTAAGTTTGAGACGCCCCGGAAGTGCGTATCCATGGTCTCATCAGGGAACCCCATACTAAGGTGAAAAATCTATTTAGCGCTTCCTGCTTTTCAATGGTCGTCTATGATCAATCAGTTATGTGAAGCCACAAAAACCCAACTATCACCACAAAGCCGCTATACTAATAATAAATAATTGTTTTCTTGTCATTAACCAAGGTTGCATCATTAGAGAATCTTGTTGTCAGCATCGACCATTCAAATAAACCAAACAGAAGACCATGGAGGCCTCCATCGAAGACAATCCCTCCAACTCACTCATATAGAATGTATTGAAAATAAGCGTTCCGTTACCACTTGTTAATTTCGCACTTCAATCATGTGTATATAAATATTTACTTAAGTGAAAGGAATTCATTTTCGAATTAGTCACAAAAAGATCATTACTACAACTCCGTTGCTACTTCCCGTTTGTTTTCCTGTTTAAAACCTTGTACTCTTCCAATTTTATTTTACCATGATGTCAACTAATTCAAACAGATTGGGAAGTTATTATATTTTCTAAAACAAAATCAGTACACAATATTTTGCATGAATTATTGCTGTATTAAATAACATGATCCCTTTCCTTTCGAAATATATTGATCCACATACTACTTGAATATTGTCATGAGTAGTTTCAATAGTGTTTAACCATATTTTGTATAAAAACAAAACAAAATAATACCAGTAAATGTAATACTCACAGGTGTAAATAAACATACCATTAAATACAATTATTTTGCTCAACAATTACTCAAGTAATTCATTTTTTTCATACCTTAATTCGAAGTTTCATTAGAGACTTGTTTGTCATTAGATCATCTAAGTACTGTCAGTCAGTCAGTAACAACGTAGAACTTCGTACGTACGTACATCAGTTCGAGTTGCCACACATTAGCACAGAGATGCAGTTGTCAATTCAAATCCCATAGTGGTAGAGGTAGTAAAATTATAAGCAGTAATTAGAAAAATTAGTGTTTGAAGATGTTATTCAAGTAGTATAATCCAGTGAGATGAATTTGGAAAGAAAATAAAGGACATGAGAAATTTAGATTAGAATTTGAGAGAACACAGAGTGGATGCAACTGCGACATTGCAAACGATTTTGAGTACTGTGCAAATAAGTGATTTAAAAATCACTATGAAATATTTAGAGAACAATTGTTTTTCTAAACAACTTTTAAGCACTACAGTTACAAATCTAAAAGTGATAATATAAAGTATATATATAGAAGTTTTGATTAAGTTAATAGATCTTGTGCATGAGTGATGGATTAAAATTGATCGAGTTAAATTATATGAATATAATACGAAAAATACTTCGTATTCGTTGACCGGACACTATTAGTAACAACCAACTGTGGGAAAGAACAAACCAGATCCCAGCGGAGGAAGAAGCGCTGGAAGTGGATAGGACACACATTGAGGAAAGCAAGACAAGCCCCCACATAGAATCCTGAAGGCCAAAGAACACATTACACCGGGAAATGGAGATAGACATGAGAAAAATAAACAAGAATGGGATGGAATTAGAAACGAAGGCCTAGGACAGAGTGTGTTGGAGAATGCTGGTCGGCGGCCTATGCTCCATTAGGGGTAACAAGCGTAAGTAAGTACAAAAGAGGAGAAATGTTACATCTTGATTGATTTCATAAAAATAATAATAAAATCACACGAATTACTAACGATAAATACATAATTAAAAGTATTTTATTAAGTCCTTTCCTGAATAACTTGCCAAATACAAGTGAAATTGTACCTACATTACATAGCTAAAACTATCAAGTCATCTCATTATTGATTAGGTCTGCTAAATATCATCCAACAAAAACAAGGTGCATATAGTCACTGATTGTTAATTTATTCAAAGGGATAAGACAAAGAGTATAACTACACTAAGCTTCTCAAAGATAGAAAAGAAAACCTGAGAAACTGAAGCGAAAAGAATCATCATACAATTAAACTCATTAAATTATGCATACTGAATGTATAAATTATAGATTTTAAGCCATAAAGAACTTTTATATGAAAATAAATAATATTCAATCAAATGTTTCAACAAAATGACATAAAGAACAAATTAAAACTTGTCATTTAAAAAAGATTGAATTGTTTCAACAGAAGATCTATGAAATATACATGAAATCAATTATTGAAATGCAAGTTGAATAATGGAAATATAATAGGTAAAATTAATCTGATAGATATTGGATGGAATACACAAAACATTGGAAATAGAGAACAAAATAAACGAGAAACATACATGAAGTTAGTTAAAAATCAAAGATTCTATTTCTTGATACATATATATATAGATATATGTGTATAAAAGAACAAATGATGAATGTCTATTAAGTAGTAATAATGTCATAAGATAAAAAAAACAAAATTTAAAATCTTATCAACAATTACATTCATATGAAAGTGTTGAATCATTATTTTGTACATGAACTTGTGGGATAGAATTAAATTTTGAATGTTCCATAAATGTTAAACTAGATGAGTGTCGATTACATTTTAAACGATCTGGATCTAATTCACCATTTCTAATTTTAAAAACAAGTTTACGAACACATTGAATAAAAGCTTCTTCGACATTTTCACCAGTAAGTGCTGATGTCTCTAAGAAATGAAGATCATTATCTTGAGCAAATGCACTAGCCTCCCAATTAGTTACATGTCCATCACTATCCTGCAATATATAAAAAAAAAAAACATTATACTGTCATGTTAAAAAGCTCATTAAAAGATTTGATGAAATATATTATATTAATTAGATATATGCGTCAACATCGGTTGGATTTTGTTGTTAATGAGTTCCAATTCAATTGGGGAATTCAATAATCCTGTCACTCATAATCAACACAGAGCCTGGCATAAATGTGTACCAAATCAAGTTGTCATACCATATCAGTAGTGAAAAGATATGAACAAAACTGAACACTATATAATTTAAATAACAACAGCATAAATAATGCGAAGAACTAAACAGTAGACACGATTTAAAAGGTATGAACATCGCTATCGTTTCGAAATGATCGTCAGACTGTTTGTTTATTGTGGTGACCTAATAGTCATAACAGTTGGAATACATAATAATAAATTTTTTGCGATATCCCAATAATTATAAAATTGTATTTCTGACGTTTAATGACTCAATGTAAGCCACTTCTTCCAAGTTGGGATACTTGTTCATTGAGGTCCTCATAAGCCAGGGTGGTCCTTTCAAGAGCAATTAGACCAAAAGCAGCAAATCTACGTCACAAGGAAGTATTACTGATAGTTTTACTGAAGTCTGATAGCGGTATAATGTTTCCAAAAGGTAAACGGTATCTCTGGCGATGCTGAGTCCCCACAATAAGAGGGACTAAAAAATTGACCCTAAGGACAGCAAATTTAACCTAGTCCCATACACTGATGAGGACGGTCAGGAAAGTATGAATTTAATGTAACAAACACTACCTACAGAAAGCCGCGTGTGACCGAACTCAAGTAGTTATTACTTTGGCTGTGTGGTCACGTCCGCAATCGTCAGGACTATCTCTGATCTATTCTTTGTCAGGCACCACAATAAGTACCTTTCCACGGCGTGAACAACCGCCAAATGACTAATGCTCCCATATATCTAACAGTAATGTCAAACATCTTAAGTAGTTTACATAGTGGTTATCTTTTTATTCAATCTGGATGCAATAAACAAGTTAGATAAAATGATTCTGTCGTAGTATGTAACTTGTCTTAACTGAGCTAATTTGTCAATCTAGTTAAAAGAGAGATCTGATTATTACTTAAGTAACGCCAAAAACATAGAAAATAAAAATTTGCTTATTACCTGTAAATCTTTTTTATTTCCAACTAGTACAATCATGATATCAGGCGAAGCAAGAGTTCGTGCATCGGACAACCAAGAGGCTAGTTCATTAAACGAATCTCTACTAGTAATATCATAGACTAGCAGTGCTCCAACAGCATCATGGTAATATGAACGAGCCACTGATCGAAAACGCTCCTGACCTTTAATTAAAATTGAGATTACTGTTCTAATTAAAATATTAATTAGAGGATACAATATAGCGTAAGAATATGTGAGGACTCTCAAAGAATTACATCTATACTTCGCAAATAGCTTACTATCGCAACAGACAGAAAACTGATCGACTGGATGTCCCTTGATCTTAAAATGTTACTACATCCTGATGCATCATACCATATGTAAATTCTTTTCTTTTATAAAGTTTTGTTTTGCTAATCAAAAAGTACTACTGTACTGTCCTTATATTTAAAACTCAATTAATTTCACAGTGGATTTACTCTTATGAGTCACTATCAGTCAACTATATTGAATTGCTAAGCATCATCAACTGATTAGCAGTTTATTTATCTGAATCATAAAAATATGCATATGTTGACACTATTGATATATTATCGCTGCAACCATCTTACACCAATCAGAATTTAATGGTCTGTTGTTATATACCTAAATTGCTAGGTTAAAACTGCTTATCTAGCGATATTATTAGTTAAAAACTGGGCACTTGTATGACTTCAAAATAAGGATCTGGATATAATATAGTCGGACAGTATTGGTCAAACGGAATAACCCCAAAGGCAAAGATGGACGTGGTTGAAACGAGTGTCATGAGTTGTAGAAGAACCTAAAAGAAATTTATGTTCAGTTTACTTAAACATGGGGATGCCCATTTCCTTATTCACTGCAGGTCAGCAAGATTGTTCTGCGATGTACTTGACGGTCGCTTGACACCTAAATCAGATACAACGTTCAACGTACTTAAGAGGTAAAAAATCAAAGGCGGTTGGACAATCAATATCCCTTAGATTCTTCTGAAAATCCTGACACTCGTTTTCATCGCATTCATCTTGATCCGGTAAGTCTCTCATCAGAATTGAAGACACTTATCTAAATACGTACATGAGCTTTCCCAAACGATTGCCAGGAGCAGTGCTCAACAAAATTACTGCTAAAAGGATGGTACGCACTCTCGTTGAACGATAGATTTTACACTGCAGTTGTCCATCAACAATTAAAGCAGACAATGGATGCCGATTCGGAAGTAAATTATTCCATGCCCTAGATAAACTCTTTATACCCATACTGCTCCGAAATGTATACCCCTTACAAATTAACCGTATGGTAGAACAACTCTATCTCAAATATAAACATCCTACACTGAACGGATACATTTCCACTTCAGAATCAACAAACTAAAAGCCTGACATTCAAAAGGTAACCCTATCTCCGTCGACCTGTATACACATGACTTTCGATATTTATCATTTGTCACATAACTTCTTAGCGTACGGATTAAAGACCAAACGCTAAATGTTTCGAGCCGTAAGAAGTTAGTTTGCCGATGTCCAACCCGTTGGATTTAAACCTCCAGTCGATAAAGTCTTCGGATCCCCACTTAATAGTGCTAACAATAGATAGGTTTGTACCTGGCATTGATGCTAATCTTGTTAACTTAGCTGTACACTGTCTAACTGAATGCGCTCAGACAAACATTTACATCAGATCACATGGTGACCAGTGAAGCATTTTATTTGTTCTGGATTATCGGTCTAGAAACCCAACATTAGGCTACCGCTGTAAACAAATAAATTATACATCGCAACCATCGCGATTTCCCTTCGTTTTAGGGGTAATCCCGTTAGAAGAAACTTGCATACCAGTGTTGTCCGACCCGAGTGCATTGAGGGCCCCCAAATGCCCTGTCACGGCCGAGGATTGGGAGAGTTAGCTCTCCCTTTCGAAATGTTCTCACATGACCACGCGTATACAGTCACTACCAGGGAAGTCCTACGGGTGTTGCTTACGAAA